TTGAGCTTTTTTTAGAATACTTCTAATGGTGCTGTAATTCTTGGGTTTCATGGTCGATTTAATGTAAATTAGTTTCATATTAATATTTTTATATATAGAGATAATCCTACATATATTAACCCTGTTTTGGTTTATATTCCTCACCTTCTGGTATGATAATGGGAATATTAAAATTAACAAGTCCATAATAATAAGTTATGAACAAGTACCATTATTACTTTTCAAAATATCATCATTCACCCTGGTTAATTTTACAGCCACAGCCACATCACAATCAGCCTCTCAATTATTATTATGTCACATAATAGAATGTTCACTTTGTCTGGTTTTGTTGCAGTCTGCCCCATATGTGTTATGTAAACTCTGTTTTAATCAATTATTTTAAGGTTTTTATGTCTACTGCATGTAAGAAATACAGTCAGGCAAAAGTAGTCTTTATCTGTTTTTACTAAATAATAATAATGAGATAATTTTAATATGTAGCTAATGCAACATATTAATATGAAGCAAATTGCTAAAATGATTAAACAAAGGATAGCGATCCCAATAGAAAGCTTATGCACAAAAAATAAAAAGTTTAGCCCAAAGATTGGGTTCATATAACAATTCATATAAAATATATTAGAAAGGTCATACTAAGAGAAGAAGGCATAAGAGTTTCAGGATATTCTATTCCCTGTATATGTATTGGGTACTCTTGTTACCAATGTGTGATTACAAGTGAGGCGTGTGAATAATTTTATCTCACGATGGTTTTCGTTCATATTAATATGTTAAAGGGTTCATCAATTTTGCCTAGAAGAAAGCTTTTAACCGTTTTCGCTTTAAAATTATTTGCTTCGAATTATACATAATATTTATTTACTCATGCAAAAGAGAGCTTGCACGGACGGAAGACAATGATCTCTATGCTGAAAATTCTCACAACATGACTACTCGTGAGCCCATTTAATCACAAATGACGAAACGGTTCCGGACTGTTTACCTCCATGTAATTATAAAAACTAAAAATTTCTCTTTCTCTTCAAAATTAAAGAACCGAAAGCGAGAACGTTTCTCCTTTCCTTCTATCCGCTGCTTCTGCTCGATATTCCTCGACAGCTAAAAATTTGCCCAGTAAAGTCATTAAAGTGTTTCTGTTTTTTCGCTTTTCTATTCAAGACAGCCTTGGAGAAATCATCCCCAGTTGTACAACCGATTTCAAGTGTTTTGGTGTGTCCAGGAATTGTATTCAAAACTAAGCAATTAACGTAGTTCTCTTCTCGTTGATATAAAACAGTACCTCACGTAAATCGATCGATAAAATACCATTGGTTTGTTATCTAAATCATATGAACAAAAGCAACATTTGTCAAGAGAATTCGACTGTGACATCAATAATTTAAACAATAATCTCATACTAATACTGGTCCTTAGATTAAATAAATGAATGTCCTTTAAGTGATGCTGAGACTGTACCAATTTCGCAACACGTGACGCGTATTTGTCAAAAGTCGTTAGATATAGAAACTTGGCGAATATATCAACACATGACCTTAAATTCCAATCAAATATCCTTAACTGTGGGAGATTTCTAAGGAGCAAGTTATTACTTCTCATTTTTTTTTCATATAAGGGGGATTTCTGATATTTAGCAAAAATTAAATTTCTCTTTTGACAAATATTATATCTTTTATTTTTCGATTTCCTCCACTATCCGCACATCTTTACTTCTGTAACTGTTACAGAATTAAAAATCACCACCCACACATGCAACTGTTGATAGAATTACGTTCTGGTAATAGAAAAGACAGAATTTACGATTGTGGCAACATTTAATTGCCAAATGAACGATTTATATCAATTTATAATATTCAGCAAATTCCACAACTCTGGGCCAATGTTTAACCAAAAACTTGAGATCTTTTAAATTGATCTCTTTTACGTAACGACTGTAATCAAGCAGAGGCGGTTTAACATATTTTCTGCACAGTTGTTTTGATTTCATGAAAACTTCGACATCAGTCAAACACTCAACATAACATTGTCTACTCCACGTCCGCAAGATGCTCCAGCGCCAATAGTATAAGCTGAAAAGATTGGCTCATAGGTATGGCATAGCGGCCGTACACCAACTTCTGCCAGAATGAAGCGTACGATAACTGTCTGCGTGCGCGTCTAAAATATGAAAAGAAGTTCGCAAGGTAAATTAGAAAAGCCATGTCTTTACAAAAAGAGAATTCATTGTAGATCGCGAGGAACTTTTATTCACAGCAAGTCAGAGTTCATTGTAATACTCCAAGTTTCCGTGTTGATACAGTCCACAGTAAACACCTGACTTGCCTATTTTCTTGGACATCCCTGTTAGCTTATTTTAATTTAAACTGTTTTCAACGATAAAATCTGGCCGATATATAGTATGCTCTTCACCATTGTCTCGCTGCATTCGCGTAAGGCGTTATCCTTTTGAAATGGCATATCCTTGGTATAAGTAGTCCGCCATGTATTAGGCAAATCAAATTTATTGACTATTGATAGGCGCGTGTTATTGGGACCAACAAACTTGGAGGACGAATTGCAATATGCTCGACAAAGACCCGCGTATATATAGTCCTCTCCAGTCTTTTTCAAAGTTTTACGAAAAATCATGGTCAAGTTGAACCCAGAGAATTTTATTAAATTTTGACAGCCAAAAACACAAACACGAAAAGTTCGTCGAGAAAACAAGTAAATATTGGCAAAACCACATTGGTGCTCGCACGTAAAGAACTTGACAACATCTGTTTTAAAACCTATACCTCTTCCGGATTTCCTACGGAATGCAGATACTGCCGAGTTGAAATGGAAGTCGATGACGCTGCTATTTTTGTTTAATGGTATTCAACGATGCCCCAGTTGTGGATTGCCGAAATGGCGTTCCCGGCCAGACGTTAACAGCGACGAGTTACAATAGTAACGTATTGTTATCGTATTGTGACTGCGATGTAAACATAGTGTTATCACATTATTTACAATGGGAATGTCACGTAATAGACTCCATCCATTTGCTTTACTATCAAGAAAGCGTTATACCCGACCTTATTGGACGTTGAACAAGAAAATACAGTTTCATAAAAGTTAATTACACAATAGGACTTTACAATCAGATACTGACAACTGTCATGCATTCTTTGTGGACATTCCAAACCGGTGCAAGTCAATTAGTATGTGGTAATAACGCCATTGTTGTTGGCTGTTTATAGTAATATTTATAGGATGAAGCACATAAACGATTTAAGACGCTATCTTTTAAATTTTTCCTTTGCGGATTTCGGCAAACCCGAAAACAAGCGAATAATGGCTAGCTAATTTCATTGTGCGAGTGCTAGATATTAATATGGAAACCACACAAGTCACAAAGGCACGTGCCACACGAAGTCAATAAGAGCCACACCGAACTATAATTAACGTTTCCCTCGCTTTTACTGCGCTATGGAAATGTCGGACTTAACTGAGTGTATACGTGACAAGTTAAACCGTGAGCTATTACTCACTTCGTGCTGCTTTCTATGCATAATTTGTTCTTCCCCTTGCCCGCCCTTCATTTCAGGCTTCCCTTTGAATTACCAACCTTCCCATATTCCCTATTTCTCTCCACATAATTAGAACTCCGTCGAGAGAAGCAAAGACGTTACGAGCAAATATGCCAACAGCTAGACCAGGAAATTCACCAGAAAACTGCTCATTCCCGTGAATTATATCTTAAATTCGAACAGGCCGTTACCCACTATCAAAAAGAGTCTGAAGCGCCATTTGATTTTGATGATGATGATTCGCAGAAAGATGACGTGAGCGAGGAGGAGGAAGAAGTAGATAGTGATGATGAGAATCATGGAAGAAATGGTTATGGAGAAGGAGTCGTATATGGGAGGAGAAGGGATGAAGTAGGGGATGAAAACGGAGGACTAGAGAGCATAGTTAGTATTGGAAATTTGGTTAATAGAGAAACTCCTATGGTGATGGAAGCTGAGGAGGATATGGATGGAGGAAAGAGGTGCGAAAGGACTGGAGAGAGAATGACTGATCGAATGAACGATAGGATGAATGATCGTATGAACGAACGAACGAGACATAACGATCGCGTGGCTGAAAGGGCGAATGAAAGATCAAGGACAAACGATAGACTGTCCGGACAACAAATCCCCTTGGCTGACAGAAGCACTGATAGATTGGGAAATAACATCAGGAAACTCGAAGCAAAGCCTAAGCGATCTTCTCGAGAGAATAGAATCCGTACTGCACATAATAAATGTTTGGAATTGAAGAGTCAGAGTGAACTCGTAGAAGAGTCTTTGACCAAGGCGAGGGCTAGGCTATTGTTTGCGCGTGAAGGTAAATTGTACGAGGCCCCACATTTGTTTGTAGTCGCATTGTGTGGATTTGCTCGCTTGTTACTGTTAACATTGCGATGATACTCAACTCTTCGACTTTCTCTTGTATTTGAACTAATTCATATAGACTATCAACGCTCGCTCCATGCCTTTGACGATCTTGAAAACGAATTGACCTCAATCTCTCAAACATTTGAAGAGACGCAAAAGCGTGCATTGGAACAGTTCTTTGCTGGTCTCAATGACAAGGACGTAGATGTTTATGAAGCACATCGCAAGTTCCATGAATCGGCTACCCAGGAAGCTTTGGAAAGACGAGGCAGAAAAAGAAAAGAAATAGAAGAGTTGCAGGCGCAAGTGAGAGGGGCAAAGAGGATCAAGAATGCGGCGTTGCTGACCTCTGTGGTTGCTTTGGCTCCGTGGATTGGTGCAATGGCTTTAGGATTATGGGAGAAGTTTTTGATATTGCAAGGACAGTTGGGCGAGTAAAAAGAGAAATCAAAACAAGGTAAAGGGAATTAGTAGTGGAAATTTTTATTTCTTTGATATGTAGATTTCATGCTATTCGAGTTGCTTGTGAGTTTGTGCAAATCTGCTGATTAGTCATATTTTATTGTTCAATGGTTGATATGGATAAGAATTTGTAGATGGTTGTAATACTGCAATTCGCTGTACATAAGATCAAATTTATTTCATAGTTATCAGACAGTAAATATACGAATAATTAAAGGTAGTGAACAACTTGGACAATAATAAATGATTAATCACAGATTATTTATTAGCAAGAACTAATGCTAATATCAGGAACATTATCTGGTAGATAATGGTGGTCTGCTTGAGATAACATGGCAGATTTTGTTGTATGTTAGGGTTCGTGTTGGCACTACTGACATGACTTGCGTCTGTTTGGGACAGGCAATTCCGGGTGAGATTCCATACGCTTACGAGGTAGAGAGCCTGACGTATACGTCATGCCAAGCCAAATGTTATTACTGCACCTGGAGGAGTATTTATTTAGAACTTTTTAACCATACAACAAGCTGATATGGGTTAGACTTCAATTTTAAAAGAAAAATGCTCATCAATAAAATGCGTTGACATATCACAACGGTTGCAGAAGTTGCCATTGACACCCAATCATCGCATAGTGACATAAAGTATTCGTAGAAGAGACAATAAGCAAGTATAATTCAAGCCCGGTGCACACAAATACGTACAGTAATTCTAGGGTCTAACACAAGGTGCTCGAAAGCTCAACACTCTGCTGAACCTGGGATCTGGCTTGAAGCCAATATATCTATTCTACCTTTCTTCTTTACAAATTGATGGCGATATGTAAACATCGAAATTTAATGATCAATTTCGGCGTGTATTTATTGTGGCAGATTAAACCTACACCAGATTAAAGGAAAGTGGTGGTCTTCCTGGATCCTATTTTAATGTCTCTGAAACCCACACATACTCTTTTAATATTGTCTCCCCAAGAAATCTGAAATAAAGAAAATTTCATTTTAACTTGGCACGTTTATTAGTAACATTCCATGTCATGCAATCATCGGGTCATTACACTCAAGTAATGACTCAATTTTATTTGAAACTTGTTTCTTTATTCAACGAGCAAAAGCTTTCCCGAAGTTCAAATGGCGTATTCGGTAATCCGGATGGATTGAATCTATCAACTATAGCAATTGGGGCATAATTATGTTACATAATTAAGGACAATCAGGAATAACGTTTCTACATTTGCATGTTTGGCACTAGAAACCTTGAACACTAGACGACCTAGAAGTTGTCCATGCTCCAACACTAGTTTGTGGTTTAGCTAGAAGCCTTGAACCTAAAAAGTCCTCTTCATTTACCAGAGTTTCTACATGATATCTTCATAGAAAAAGGGCTCATTTGCCTTTCTATATTTTTCGATAAGTGATTGTGCTCTCTCCCGTCTGCTGCTGCTCACTGTTGGCAATGAACTCGAGGCTTGTAAGATATCCGTCTATTTTCTGGTCAAAGTTCTGAAGTTAATTGCCACAGTCGCGGTATTTGATCCAGCCATTTTCAATTCACGCGGTCAAATGTTCATTCGTCCGGTTATGTTGCAGTCTGCCCGACATAATAATAACTAAAAGAATTATAAAGTCTTAAGCTTGAGCATACTCTATCATCTATTATCTATCATCCATGTTCCGCTGGCTGCGAAACAAGAAAAAAGCTACGGCACCTGGTATTCCCACGTTGTCCCCAACCGTAGTACTGACCAGGCCACCAGTGGCTTAACTGCGGAGATCGGACGGGTTCCGGTGCTTTTCACTGTGTATGGCCGTAGCTGTCACGAATTCTCATGCAAATTCTTTATGCAGCTGCATATGGCATTGGCCTAATCAATAGCCGTCGAGACAGATAACGATATCAAAGTCGTAATATTCCTATAACAAACCAGTTACAATGTGATATCTAAATTTGAAAAGTATGAACTATCGTTATGAATTCATGTCTCGAAAATGATCGAGTATATAATGTCAAAGCTCGTAATTGGTTTGAAACGGGGTCGCAGTGTTTGAGATCTGTCTATTCATTTCCGCAATCTTCGAAAGGAAGTCTCCCTTATAATGTCACACAAAAACCAATAATGAAATATCCTGTTCTTTAAAGGATATATACGCAACTTACAAAATAAATCACAAGTAATGTTTTCATTCGCAATAGACGTTTGTTCGGGCTATGTTAATTGAAACGAGTTTGTAATTTTATGTCGAACTCGGCCCAACTTTTAATAATATCTTGGCACATTAGAGAAAGTATTGTATCTTAACGGATAGCGACTCCGCTAATGGTTAACTCGATGTGCATGAAAAGATAATGAGATTCGTATAATTTTGAACCATTTGAACCCCTAAGCGCATTGTCACTTACGGATACCCGCAAAACGCCCATTGCAATGTTGGCAATTCAGTTGTCGATCTAGACCTCTATTATGAATTTCTATTGTGAATGGTCTCAAGCGCTTACAATGGTCTCGGCAAGCAACCAATCAATTTTCGTTACTAATATATAAAAGAACAATACCCTGTTGCTGCGGTCGGATTGCTCTTGACATACTCGCACGATAACGGCACCCGATATGCATATAATTACCAAAATAGGTCAATGGTCTTTACTTATTATATAAATCGCATGCTGATGGTGAAAAGAAATCCAACTTTCATAATCCGCGCAAGTCGCTTTGCAACATCACTCTTACCCCAAAAATTTAAACACAACAACAACATGAGCAGAACTTTCCCCGCGAACTTGGAACAGCAATTCGACGAGGCCTATCGCAAGGCCAATCTCGTCTGCAGTAAGGCCGAACTGCTGGCGTACAACAACAGGCCGAACAAGCATGGGTCGCCGAGGAGGCCCAAAAATGCGTTTTTCATATTTACAGTAGAGTATAGAAAACGCATTAAAGTTGGGCTTTACAGCTCAACCACAACTCAGTCGCGGGATGTTATCCGGCGTGCGGGACGGGCGTGGCAGAGGTTGAGCGCAGGGGAGAGGCGCGTCTACGTTCTGGCGGCCAGCGTGGTGGAGAAGAAGTTTTACGAGAACAATCCGGGTTATGTGTATAACCCAAGAAGGGAGCCGCTCGAAACAGTGTCCGCCACGGCGACGGCGAATGAACAAGGGGAGTTTGCCGAGATCTACGGACGATTCTCGGATCCGTCGTGGGTGAACCCTGGAAACGTCAGCGATCCGGCGGACGTTATTTATTCCATAAAAACTTGGAATGGGTTTTCTTGGAACGGACCGTAGACTCGGGTTGTCATTGTATTTATTAGAAAACCACTCAATATTCCGTGTACAGAGTTACATACTCTACCTACTGCATAACAAATAAAATTATTAGTATTATTATTATTATTATATTATTATTATTATTATGTGATTTGTTTATTTGTATTTTTCTCGTACGACTTCTCGAACTCTCAGGCTGCGCATCCTGCTTAATATACTTGAACGTGTTTCGTTAATGTATTCGGTCAAATACGGTCGCCACCAATATCTTTGTAACGATAATGAGCAAGAGACGTATTTCCTTGATAAAACGACAGTTTGGTAAAAATACTATACTCTAATACTTTTTGTAAATAAGCACAGGAACAAAACGCAAGATTATATTTTATTTATCGTGGGATAACTAAGCATAATTTTTGCACAGTCACAGCCATAATTCAACAAAAACTTTATGGTTAACATCAATAGCGAATAATTAACCAATTCTCTGTTCGGACGAATATTTCTTCTTCGGAAAGTGAGCAGTACTTCATATACAAGCAATACCATACTCATTCATCTGTTCCTGTATTGACTGTCCGTATGACAACGGGAGTGCAAGCAGTTTGCGCACTCATCTCTTGATACAGTAAAGAATTTCAGTTTGGCTTTGAATTAAGCTCAATGATAGATTGAGAATAACAAGTAAAAGTGCAAGTTCGAGTTACATTTTTTTTGTTTGGATCTTCTTTATCTCGTATACACCCTTTTGAGCTAGTCTGGAGATGGTGGCGATCTCTGGTTATTACTATGCTGTGCAAGCTTGCAATGATTGTATGAAATTGCGTAATCATGTCGGGTGGAGGATCGACTGCTCTGACTCGTACATGATAATATTGTACTTTTTGTGGGCATGATCGATTGATTACTTACTATTACTATTATTGCAATTTCTCGACAAATGTGTTTTTATGAACCCCATCAACTGAATTAACTGTACTCGAAATAGTATTATCCAAGAATCAATGCACACGAAACATCGTCCGATGAATGAGATGCTTTTCAATTCTGAGATTTTAGCATACTTCATCAGCTGAGGTTTTCTGTTGAGTTTTTCTGAAAGGGAAGATATACCTTGATCTTAAAATGAGTATGGAAACCGTGTGTGATTTTCTTGACGAGCACCAGCCGTGGTATCCAATAGTCTTTGTTGTTGGCAACTCCATAATAGTGTGTGATGATATTCTCTGGTCCATCAATTGTTATGTCATTGGTTGGTCAAATTAAAATAGGGTTTCAATCCACAAGTTTCCAACGATCAAGTTGGCCTTGATAACATTTCAATAATGTACAATTTCCATGTAAGCAATGGCATTGTTATGATAGAAAAGTGGGGCTGCAAATGTTTGTCTTATTGTTATATAGTGATTCCTACAGACATAGATAAAATCTTAAATAACAACTGCTATTGAGTTGGCAAATGCTAATACTAAACAAAACGAAGAACGCAAGTTTCGTCAGTCACTCTCGATACAGTAGTTTACTGATAAGATCAAGTTGGCCTAATATAATGCTTTTTTCCGGAACCAAGTCAGTTATAATAAAATTGGGGCTTTTTATTGAAAGGAAGCGATTAAAAATTACGGAGAAAGAAACAAAATTATTAGAACTTAACTACTATTAGTAAAGCGTTGAATATCGGTTGCACGATATTTGTATATTTAATCTAGCTGATGTATAGTACATTAAACCAATTGTACGTTTTAGTATGTGTTAATGATATATTTCGGAATAATACGCGTAATCGATGTTTAAACAAATTATTCTCCGTTCCATGCTGTATAACTTGCATGCATTTTATTGTTTGTTGTCAAAGATCGACATTTCCACTATATGCTGGATGTTACACGGCAGGTTCAAAATGTCATTCAATAGCTTGTCGTTATTAAGTATCATTCTTATTCTTTAATTTTCTTTCTAATAAACGAGTCATAATGGCTTCGTACGAGAAAATGTTCAACACGGTTGTCTCTTACGTTGCAGGGACGAACGTTGTAAGAAATTATGATATTGGAGAACAGGTTGCGTCGGCCGGTCTTTGGAAGATCTACGCCGGCACTAAGAAGACAACCGGTCAAAAGGTTGCGGTTTTTGTATCCTAAATTATATTAGCGTAAAGACTTGTGAATACGATCTAGCGTTACTATAAGCATAGCAATCCCAAGATTATGGGATCTGTTTTCCCTTACTTGTCCTTTACCAAACCGTGAAATATGATAGATGTTTGAGAAAAAAATTATAGAGAATCCTTTGCGGAAAGGATATGAACGGAAGGAATCTGAACGGGTGTATCAAGTTTTGAAAAGAGAGGTAAATGCGTTTGGCTTTAATTTGTTTATTGAGAATTGTAGTTCGTTTTCTGTTCATTATACCATTATGCGTTGGATATGTAAATATAAAATTGATCTATATATTTGGTTAATTAATGCGTATACAACTCAAGACATTTATAATCTCTTTCAGGCAAGTCAATTAGCACGTCTTCGGCATCCATCTCTTCTCGAAATTGCCGAACCGGTAGATGAATCTCGAACAGCCATCACGTTTGCTACAGAACCTATACTTGCGTCGTTAACGAATTTACTTGGAAATTATGATAATTTGTCACCAATTCCCGAGGACATTAAAAAATTCGAGATGGACGAATTGGAGGTTGATCGATAGAGTAATTCGATAATATTTGTGAATAGATTGTTGCGTTGGGACGGGAGATTGAGTTGAATTTTCTCACTTACTATTTTCCGTGATGCAGATCCAAAAAGGCTTGCTCCAAGTCGGGAAAGGATTGCAGTTTTGTCATAACGATGCAAAGATTATTCATGCGAACCTAGTGCCAGAAGCTATTTTCGTGAATGCTAAGGTGAGGTTGTATAGTGGATTATATTGGGGCGTAAGTGTGTAGACTTTTAATGCTAATTTAATTTCTGTCGATCTTCTGTATATGGTAACACACTTTATAGGGTGACTGGAAAATAGGAGGGTATGGTGGGATTATTTAATTAATCAGATGATCGATAATGTATCTTCTTTGGTTTTCTGGCCTTCCATACATCATGTTCTCATCATTTGTCTATATCGTGTAGATTTGGCTTTAGCACTTCATTGAGCAGTCCAGATCTCGCCTCATCAGCATACGAATACCCTGATTACGATTCACGGATACCTTTTTATGCACAGAAGAATCTTGATTATATGGGTGAATATCATTTAAATCCATAATTCTTTTTCCATCATTTTATGCAATGAAGGAGTAGTATACTCGACGACTGGCGGACTAGTTTCTCTAATCATTACACATTTTTTCGTAATGCAGCGCCCGAGTATGCTCTGGATGAAACAATTGACTTTGCCAATGACATGTATGCCCTTGGCTGTCTCATATACGCTGTGCATAATCACGGTATGCCTCCGCTGAAGCATCATAACAGTTTACATACATTCAAAAAAAACATGGAACGACTGTCATCATTGAGTATGGACAGCTTGCCTTACCATCTTCAAGGTAATTGAAAAGTGTAGTCCTAGGCCATGATTGACACCAATGTACTAATGTATTTCTACATCCTGTCATGCTTGTTCAGACGTAATGACGAGCCTTTTGACGCGGTTTCCATCACAGAGATTGACTGCAGAACAGTTTCAAACTAGCAAGTACTTTGACAACATTCTGGTGTCAACTGTCAAGTTTCTCGAGAGTTTTCCGGAAAAGACGGCAGACGATAAAGCTAATTTCATGAAGGGATTAATAAGAATATTACCACAATTCCCAGAGCGGGTATTAGTAAGAAAGGTATGTTATTTATTTAAATGATTACTTTGAGTCTTTTATGACATCAATTAATTCAATATTAATAATCGTTGTTCCCTGTAGATCATGACTTGTCTCCTCCAAGAGCTCAAAGATCACAGTCTACTTCCCTTTATTTTACCCAACATATTCTTTATAGTTCAGAAAATGACGCAAGACGAGTTCATGACAAGAGTTTTGCCATCATTTAAATTTGTTTTTACTGTTCATGAGCCAATGCAGAACATGATAACATTACTGGACAATATCAAGCTATTACAGCAGAAAACAACACTAGTCACTTTTAAAGAAGGTGAGAAATGAGATACTTGCATCCATTTATAGAAAATTTTTTGCGTAAATAGAAAGAATTAATACCGTCAACTTGCCCTTTAGACGTGATGCCGTTGGTTTATCATGCCTTGGAAACAAAATCACCTCAAATACAAGAAAAAGTATTGAAAATTATACCTACTATATGCGAATCATTGGATTATACGACTGTCAAATCATCTTTATTCTCGAGAATACAGGTAGGCCGGTATGTCACGATTAGCTTGGAGATGTATGAAGGCAGCTACTAATTTATGACTCTAATTTTATATAAATAGAATTTGTTTGCTCATACAACGATTTTGGCCATTAAAGTTCAGACACTGATATGTTTCCATGCTTTACTCAAAGTGTTAGATAAGGTATTTGACATTGTTTGCGAGCATTAAGAAAAAGTGTACGACTAACTAGAATTTTACATTCGAAAGTTTACGATGACAGAAAAATTAATACCGCTTCTAAAGAACATCAAGACTAAAGAGCCTACTGTAGTGGTGAATAATCTTTACTTACTAAAAAGTTGCGAATGGAATTGTCTGAGAATTCATGGGGGGGGGGGGGGGGGTGGAAGGGATTTTTTAATAACCATATAATCTTTATCTTGTTAGATGGCTACATTGACAGTATTCGAAGAAATGAGTAAATTTGTTGACAAAGATATCATGGCCACTGAGATACTTCCTCAGTTATGGAAATTGTCTGTCGGTCCTACATTAAACCTCTCACAGGTATTAAATATGGAGAAACACACGCATATGCAACGTGACCAAAAATACTCAATTAATATTTATTTTCCAAGTTTCAACGATATATGAAAGTTATTAAGGATATGGCTGCCAAAGTAGAAGAGCAGCATGCACGACAACTGGCAGATATAAAGAGCTTAGAGACACGCACCAAAGATTTCTTGGAAGGCGGAAACGGTATTTGATGTTTGTTGACTAGTAGAGTATTTAATTCCGTCATGATACTAATCGGGTACCTTGTATTTACCAATCACAGAAAAATCCGCAGATAATAATACGATTCCTGTTGATTTTGAGAAACTCGTCGGTTCCAGCGTGAATTTCACCAGCCACTCATCTAATAACACGTCAAAGACATTAAACGAAATAATACCTGATCCATTCAATTCTCCGCTCAATCACAAGTTAAAAACACCATCCCCTGATCCGTTTAATTCTCCGCTCGATCAGAAGCTACAAATACCGCCTCCTGATCCATTTAATTCTCTTCTCAGCCAGAAGTTGCCAATGAACGTTCTCAGTAATTCGTCTGTCGTACGTATTAAATTTAGGCAAACCTGATATTTGGTTACGGGTCGATTCTATTAACAAATGTCTTTTGCACCATGTTTCCAGGCAACGCCGTTTCCACCGATAGGATCGCAGTCGTCGAACCGACCCAATTCATCGGGTACATCATTGAATCAACAGAACAAGATCTCTGATAGCAATCGGCAATCGACAGGAGTAAATTATACCGGCGGCATATTGCAGCCTGTCCCATGGAATGCGAATAACAAAACGAACACTAATGGTAATAATAGTAGTACCTCGACTACCGGTCGGAAAGATTACTCTAATTTCGATCCATTCGCAGAATCGTTTTAATAACCAAATTGAATAGATCATATATTTAAATAATATAAAGACGTAGTTATAGAGACATACATAATTAGATCATATTGAGTACAGGAAACACACATTAAATATTACACATAAACCCATTCATCATTGCGGCCAAAACTTTGAACTGGAAAAATTTAATTTATTATTATATTCGAATTCGATCATTAACCTGTTAGTCAGTTTGTGTTCCCAAGCCGAAAAAACTATAAATAATTTGGACTCTCAATCAAAACAACAGGCGAACCCGACATCGTACAACTTGAGGGCCAGCTGTGACGCGTACATAAATACAACAATCCTGCCGTCGCTCCGTCCCCCCCTCCTCCCTCTCTCCCTACCCGCTGAACCTTATATTCTCGAGCATGCATTACTCCAGTACCATGCCAACCAAGACTGCAAAATATGTATATCATGGACATAGCAAGATCATCTCTGGTGTTATTGCTGTGCTTGAAAACACCGATGAGCCACTCTCTTTACAAGAACTAGTAGATGAAATGACTAAGCGACAGTTAGTCGTATTCCAGTAAGTGAACATCTCAATTCATTACGCTCGGTCAATACGCGTTTTACTCTCATCTCGCTCCTTTGAGTTGCGAATGTGAAGCCACAGCTTTTAATTCGCGTGCCTATTACAACATGCAATAGTGGTGCAACCCCACGCAACACCGTGAGCGGTGAAATCAGCAAACTCCTTAACGCTGTGGGACATAACAACGCACCCATCTTGAAAGTCAATCAAGGCAAGCTTACAAAGTTCTGCTTACGAGCCCGACAGAAACAGCAGGATGGACTGTATGTATATAGGGGGGAGAAGGGAAGGGGAGGAGAAGAACGGTTGAATTATCCGAGGGGTGGTGGACGGGCTTTGTTCTAGGATCGTTTTATAACGTTATGTTAATGCGGATCTATTTGTCGTTTGCTTGAACAGTAAAGAGACCTTGACCGGTCGAATCCAGAAAAAACATCCTCCCCGTCTCTGCAGACATTCCTCAATGTCAAGCTCGTCGTCTTCTGATGAGCAGAATCCAGGTCTTGACTTTGATCAAAAGCAGCGTCGCTTGGACGATTTGAAGTGAGTTAATGGATATGAATTGAGAATGAGTCTCGGGCTTGCCACATGACAGTTCATCATGTTTTATAGCCACCAATACTTACCTTTTTGCTTTATTTCATAACAGGGCTGCATACTTGTTATCTTGTCTCTCCGCTCATTCCTTTTGGCTAAATTACAATGAACCTGAAAGAGACTTTGAGTATTTCGTCGAATCGCACGTGGGTGACGACTACTCTGACTGTTGATCGAAAAACGACCGAGTCATAAGAATAATAATTAACCCATTCCCCCCCGTGGAATGCAACTTCTCAAGATGCCTGATCATCGGGCACGGTGGTTCTTAGGGTAGCTGGTAACCATAAGAGGCCGAGTTGTGTAAAACTCGAAAACTTATGATCGTGTTTGGTTTTTCGACACTAATTCTTTCCTTCCTATATAGACTCCAAAATATTTTGATGTAGTAATTGTAGATATTAATCATTAGAAAAACTTATACTTTTCTTCCTTTTATCCTAAACCCTTCCAAGCTTTAATTCGTCTTTGAACCTTAAACCCGTTCCTTTGGATTACATTCTCGCGCTAGTTTACTTTCTCTGGGTTTTTGTAAATTTTTCTTAATAGGAATTTCTTTTTAGTAATTTTTCTTCCTTTTGCCTTTGTCCCTCTCCTTCTCTTTAATCTCGACTTTGTAATTTTTTCACTCAATTCTTTCCTTTGCTTGACGAAAGAAAGAATTGTATTTCCCGAAATAGAGGACCCCTCAGACAGTATATTGTCTGTTTGCAGGTCTATAATAGATTTGCGGATTTATTGGGTTGCTGGATCTATGAAGTTTAGTCAACATGATAAAACCATGTTCGCTTAAGTAAACAATTTTTTCAGGCTATCGTTAAATATGCAAAGGTGAACTGATATGATTAATTGATTAAGTGATTACTATTTTGAGCTTCAGTTCACATGACTTGGGCGGTATGTGAATTTCGTAATCAAAGCTCTTACTATGGACAGGCCATACGGTCGCTCATTCAACTCGGTAACTTTGCAGTGTCGAGCAAAACAGTGAAAAGCATCAGGAACCACATAATCGATAGTCAATCGTCAGCGTTAATTCTTGTTGGATGAAAGATTGTAGCGCAAAAATGTGTTACAGCTGCTATTATTACAGCTTCATGTTGCACAGAGATAACTATGATCAAACTTACCTTAGTCAGATGACAATACGAATTGTAGTATGAATGTCATAACTTTTAAAGTAAAGCATTATTCAGATTATTCTTGTTGCATGTGATGACTTTTATTGATTACAACTGCTCATTTCTATACTAACTATTTACTTGACTATTATTATGATAATAAAGAACACCAACAGTAAGCGTTTATAAACCTTGCCATCCTGGCTGTCTTAACAGCAAGTTGATGGTGTTGAATACATTTAAACCATTAACACTGGACATAGCATTTTCCCATAAACTCTTCCACATTTTGTGCGCATCTTGATGCACCACCCTTTTCTGTGAATCATCTCTTTCAGAAATGAGATCTCGATATTAATATTTCATACTTTTGATTCTGTCAACATCAACCCAATATGTGGCAATTCCACTAATGGAAAATTTTTATCTTCATCAAGACATAATCAATTTGTTTGCATACTGCTTAATCTTGAACATCAAATAAATGTACTTTACACGGATTAAGATAATAGATTTTATTTACCTGCTGATTACATGTAGAATATTAAACATTTTGTGCACATTGTAACAGTAGTGTTAACAAAATAATACTCTGTTAGTTGCAGCATAATTATCATCTACCAGTTTACTCTGTTGTTGTAGCAAATCATGTGATAAAATCTTACGTCCGCAGTCCGCAGCCCATGATCGACTTAATTTTTAGGGAGTAGTAACACTAGAAATTTCATTGCCGATCTAGATACAAATTAGTCGCAATGAAAAGGATCCAATTTTAGTAATAATGACGCAAAATTGGTGTTTGGCGCGCTATATAAGCGACTATTATCCCATCGTCTAGCTCTCATGTTGAAAAATGTTGATATAAATGTTGAATGTTAAGATGTTGTTCTGATATTATTGTTATACTTATATTCCACGGAATTGTTCTTATCCAAGGAATAAATAAACAAAAATTTTAATTCCCTTTTAAATTTACTTTCTTTCTATCGGTTGATCGTCGAATTTATCGTAATTATTATAACAACGGACAATACTTGTTGCCTACAGTA